TAGCCTAATTACAAAACCCAACTTTGAAAAAACCTGAAGAATTGAAAAGGAAATGTCATGTCCGTCTTGACTATGGTGGTAGCTAGCTATTGATAAATCAGCTGGTTTGTTTTACAGCTAATAGAAAAGAAGATGATCAATTATCTTACGTTGTACTATATAGCTTCAAAATCATGGTCAACCCTGCTCTCAATTTGTTAATTATTTCTCTTAACTCGTTTGGAGGACCCCCCGTGACAGCTTTACTCACGATAAGCCCAACATATATAATTTACCAATTCAATGTTTTGTGCTATATATGACGCCTATGATACATATAAGTGTTCAAGTATTTTGGGAACCACAAGATTGGGACAAACGTTGGAGATGGCAAGAGGAGATCGTCATGTCCCACTGATTTATTATGAAATACCATTCGCAGTCCCAAGTTGCCCAATAATTAAGCATACGTCAAGCTATTTACTTATAATAATTAATTACGAGTATTTTAGTCCAGCAGTTTGGCATTATTTTGCCATGGACCGACAATGGATTCAAGCTGTTTAAGGGGAGGGAAAGCCGCCACCCACCCCTTCATAAACAAAGGGAGCATGAATATTTTTATGAACAGCTAGTTGTGTCAAATACAAGATACATATTCGACTCAAAGATGTGCATCGGCAATATCTTATTTGATATAATTTGATACTCCTCTTACATTTTTCGAAGCTAAAGACATAGGAGTGCTGGCAAAGAGGATGACAAGCAATATTGTGGAAAAGAAATGGAAAAAAAAAATAAAAGAAGAAGAAAAAAACCAATGCGAGTTATGTATGGGAGAGAAATTATATTACCCTCGTGTATATAGTTATGATTAATTTATTACGAGGGACATGCCTTGGGGTTTGGAAATTGATAGTAAATGGTTGATATGAGATCAATGTACATATGTTTGCTTCAATTTAGCATAATTATAAATTTACAAATTGGTTGATGTACGTCTAGACTTGGAAGAGCTGGTTGAGGCAGGGTAACCTAATATTTGAGACAAATGCAATCCATGCCATGAGATAGGGAGAGACGTGGCCTGAATTTCCCAAAGTCATGGTTGGCGCCGCATCTACTCTAATTAGAAAAGTTAAATGTATACAATGTCTACGCAATAAAATCATTATTGCTATCCAGCCTGTCTGATCGACGATGGCTAGTAAAGCTGCTTATTTGTAGTATAGTTATTACTTGGTATACATAATCCTGTTTTTTCAGTTTCAGAACTAGACGGAATAATGGTGGTCACGGGAGATGGCGGCCATCATCCAATAAATTTTAATATTTGTTTTAAATTGAATTGATTTAATCTATAATATTACATGATTATTTTTTAATCACATTTTATATAAAATTCTAAATTCATCACTGACATGATGTATAACTCCTATCAATTTATGATGTATAATTTTTTTTATCATTTTCAAGATCAAGTCATAAATTAATAGATTAATCAGTATATTTAAAAATTTTAAAATTTACTTTTGTGAAGAAAAACTGTTTTTTATTTTTTTCCAAGGCAATCATCATATTTATTAATCCTGATATAATCTGAAGGAAACCATAGAGTCAACAACAGTAAGGATCAACCAAAAAAATTATTTTCTTTTAATCCAAGATTTCAGCCTTCCTATAGCTCTCAACCGAATCCACAATTGTTTCTTCCTATGGGCAATGGCTGATAACTCCAGCCCAGCTTCTGTAATTTTTTTGAGCTAAGCATATCTTCCTCCTCTACCTCGACGAAGCCTTTAGGATAATTAAGAAGAAAAACTTAAGGTTGCTTCTGTCCAAACTTTGATTAGACACAGTCCTACTGTCTTCCGGCTGTGTGATATTAGCTGAGATTAGTTGTCGATGCAACTTGCTGGACTGTGACTTGTATTTCAAACAGGATGTCCTCCACTTAAGACTGACAAAAACTGGATAATTAAGGAAGACATTGGAGGTTAGTATTTTCTAATGCTGTATCTTACGTGAAAAGCATTTTACAAATTATATATATAGTAGTTCATTTATAGAAGAAAATAATAAACAAGTTAAATGAAAACTTCAAATAAGATCAATATAAAATTAGACTAACATCTAAAAATTTGAATTAATAGTTGATGTATATTTTACAGATTTCATATCAATAAAAGATGAAATTGAATTTGTACTTATAAATAAACATTTTCCTTCACTTAATAAATATGCTTTTTTAAATTGAAAATTTAAACTATTTACATATAATCCTCCACTAAAACATGGGATTTTTTTATGCTCATAGACTGGAATTAGCATATTCAATTGTAAATAAAGAAATTATTAATGTAAGATTATACAATTAGAATCTGTTAGATGCACTGTGTATAGTTTTATAGAGTAGCAATTATGAATAACATCATTATCAAAAGTAACATTGATTAACATAACAAGTTTAAATGGTTAGAAGAAAATGCATCAATCAGAATTTATTATAGACAATGAAGTCAAAATTAAACCCTGAGTTTATATGAACAAGTGATAAACATATGTATATGATCTTACGTAAATTTGAAGCATGCGTACTCAAGAACAAGGGTGGCTCTGTGGGGCGATAACTCAATGATTGTAGCGATAATCAAGCAAAAATATTTAAATGAATAATTAGGAAAAGAACAATTCCATCTGTATTTAGCTGCTCACTACGGGCCTACGACGATTGCCCATCACAAGTAGGATGAATCCAATTTTGAGCCAATTTCTTTAAATCGAAATAGTTCACCAAATTTTAGTATTATGCGGCCATTGTCTCATCAAAATATTCCAATATTTTAGATAAGACGAAGGAGTCAAGGCATTTACACCATACAAATTGATAGGTAGAATTAAATTTAAGAATTGTGCCAATTTGATAGCAAAGCAAAGTCAGAGATAGACTTGTCTCTGCTAAGATCTTGCAATCAATATGTACACCATACACTTTGCTGCTGCTTCTTAATTATCTAGCTATGTTTATTTATTGTGGTAGTAGTAGTAGTTCATTTTGTCTACCTGAACGCAACTCCTGCTAAATTTTTTAACTGGGAATTCTTCTTTGTTCCTAATTCTTGAATCTCGAAGCTGTCAATAATAATATAAAATATGGTCCATTGAGTTGATCATCTAGAGATATCTAACATAGCCGCCATTTACCTTTTCTATCGTCCTACATATATATATGCACTTGAACGAGGATTCCAGGCTGTATCGATCAGGGGTCTTCATTAGAATAATATGAATGGATAAATACGAAGTTGCACGAGCGGTGCATTGGAAATCTGAGGCTAATCTTTTTAACATAATGGGACGAAACTGCGATGCTTGTTTTCTTTCTGTCTGAATAGATATCCGACCAATTATATGCATAAATTTTGTCATACAATGTGTACTGGCATATAGTTTTTGTTCTCTTGTTAGGCACACCGGAAAGAACCTGGAAGGGAGCAGCTATCTTTTTACCCGTATTGGACAAGAGAAAACCAAGATAGATCAGCATTTTCCCAACATGGGGACTCACTTTTCTAGGAAAGTGAGAATTGCAAAGTAATTAATGGTGAAGTAGAGATTTGCTTGTCCCCTAGAATCTCAAGAGAAAAAATTGTTTTTTACAAGTTGAGCGTGGGAGACTCGTCAAGTCTAAAGTCTTACTCAGAATCTGTCGAGTGTTGCTTCCAACACACGCAGTGCCAGCCAATCAAATCTGGGATTGCTCATATCATCTACTGTAAAGACCTTATTAGATCTTAGAAATTTGGGCTACATACAGAACCCAATTGATAGAAAAAACTGTAGACGGGTGCTTGAAATTTTACACTTTTGGAACTAAAGCCCATACGATTGTTAGTACTCTTTGTGTCTCTGCCCAAAGCTTCCATGTTTATTGTCCTAGGTGTTTTGGGCCGGTAAGTAAGGGAACTGTTTATTCTAATTCTAGTTTCTAAGCAAAACCAGAATGTATATTTTCAAAAAAAATACACACCAAATCTTTAAAGCAACATGTGATACGGGAAAAGTAAAAGAACATTTAATTAAATTATATTATAATATTTATTTTATAATAAATTATTATAATATTATATTACAATGTAATCATGTTACAGTTAAAGAGATATAATGTGATTACAGTTTAAAACCAATGCAATCATATTACATTGCACTTTACAATATTATTAAAAATAATTTTATCTTTTAACTTTACTAATTTATTAAAAATATTTTATAATATTATAATTAAAAAAAATATATAATATAAAAATTATAAAATAAAATAAAATATAAAAAATTAAAATTTATATAATACAAGAAAAAAGAATTAGAATAAAATATGTAATATAAAAAATTATATTAAAAAATAAAATATATAAAATTATAATAAAAAATAAAAATAAAATATATGACATTTAAAATATATTTAAAAGATGATATTATATAAAAATTAATAATAAAAAATATAAGTATATTAAACTTATATTTTAATAAATAAAGATAATTTAAAAAATTAATATTATATTTTTAATATTTTAATTATTATTTTATTTGTATACCAAACACTGTAATATTATTTTTTTTATAATCACATTACTTGTAATCATATTTCCTATAATTACAATGCATGTACCAAACGCCACTTAATGATCTTCACACCATTGAAAAAGGTGAAAACAAATAATTCAAGAGTAAGCCTATTGACTGAATTCATAGTAGTAGTACGTAATGAAACAAACCTTCTGTTGAATTGAATAACCACGTACTACTACAACAGTTCAATTGTTGCATTTACCTCAATGAAGCAGTGATGCGGCGTGCGCTGATCAGCATCTTTGGGTTGAAAACAAGAAGAAAAAATGGTCAAACATCGGGAAAGGACAAAGATTCCTCTTCCGTAGACGTCCTTGCTTACGCCTTTTGCTTGTACGAAGGAGACTGGCCCATATCTTGGGTGTCCCTTGTGTCATCCGTTGTTTGGTTCTTGAGAAAACTGAAACTAATGATGAAAGCAACAAAATTTTAGTATCCAAATAAAATTTTGAGTCTCCTAAGTGAGGTCTTACCTGAACCCTGAAAGCAGTCTAGGTCAAGCTTGGCCTGTGTATATAACCATATGCCTTCCCACCCATCAAATCAAATCAATCGCATTAGGATTAGTAGAATAGCGAGATGGGGTGGAGAGGGATTCTGGGTTTTGAGTATGGAATAGTCCAAGGACCACTGGGACCTGATATTGCTGGACCGGAGCTTGTAGCTGCTGTTGCTAACGCTGGTGGCCTTGGCCTTCTTAGAGCTCCTGATTGGGTATTAAATCCTAGTATTTCCTTTTTATGTTCATAGGTTTGAATGATCTTCCTCAGCAAATACTAGTTACTTCTCTGTTGTTAAGTTTCACTAGAAATTGCTCTTCATCTCATGGGACCACCTTAGTTAGTTACTACTCAGATACTAAGTTTGGTTTCTGACTTTCTGTTTTTATTTATCGTGGGAAACCTTAATTCATAAAGGCAGTTAATGTATAAAGAGAAAAACTGTACTGTTAGTGAACTTCCAAAATAACCAACCAGATACCAACTTGCAAGAAATCTTTTGATGGTTGAGCCATTATGGTCATCTTACTAATGGCAGTAATCCAGGGTTCAAGATTGGCAATTCCTAATCAGCGATAGTGAGTTGTATTGACTATTAATTTACTTTCCTAAGTTTCTCAATCTTGAACAGCTTTCGTAGTAATGGGCACTTATCCAAACTCTGCAATTTGTCTGAGACAAGTAGATGAATTAAAGGTGTATTTCCGTTTGTTTTTGATTCCTAAGTAGCTGTTTTCTAAGTATTGCTGAAATTTTGTAGTTCAGATAACATATATGGGCTAGCTGTTACTACTCTTATTTCAGTTTAAGCTTATCAATGGGCTGTTGATTTTCCCGTAATTTGCTGTGCTAGGAATCTCCGGAATACTTAAAGGAGCTGATAAGGAAGACCAGAACGTTAACTGACAAACCCTTTGGGGTTGGTGTTGTTCTAGCATTTCCTCACAAGGAAAATATAAAGGCTATACTCGAGGAAAAGGTAGCAGTATTGCAACTATATTGGGGAGAATGCTCAAAGGAGCTTGTACTTGAAGCCCATAATGCCGGGGTCAAGGTTGTTCCCCAAGTGAGTATCGTGTTTCTCCTTTTGTTGCACAGATAAACATGCTTTATGTCCCATTATGGAATGCTGATTTAACCGAAAAAGCAAAAGATACAACAGATGACCTATATGTTATATTGCTTTGTTAAGTGTCTTAACCTTAATTTGATCTTATTTCTTTTTAAATGGGGAGTTTCATGGGAAGGGGATGGGGGCAGGGGAAAGCCTGGACACAAACCCAGGACTTTATGCCACACCACTATAGTTGGTTATCACCAGGTTATGGAGTAACTTTGCCTGATGTGATTCTCTGAACACTTTGAGAATACATTCATAATCATATTGCATTTCTTGTTCACTATGATTTTCCTTTGATGAGATTTAGTTACCTTAATGAAAAGTAATACCAGTAATTTTTGCCTTTTTGGGTCCAAGAGAGATGGACAAATTGTAGGGACGAGGTTTGCATTTGTTCCATTAATTAGCACTTATTAGGTTGACGAGAAAGAATGGTGTGGGAAAGTAATATAAAAGGTCTTTATTGGGGACAATAACATTTATTTGTGAGGAAAGTATAAGAACACTAGTTTAGAGGGTTCAGGTCGGCATCAATTTCTCTTTTCAAACTGAAGGGTAGGATGACATGTTTTGCATGTATTATGCTTCCTCTTGGACTATCTCATGAGCCAAATGTATCTCCATTGAAGGTTGGGAGTGTTGAGGAAGCAAAAAAAGCAATTAATGTGGGTGTAGATGCAATCATTGTCCAAGGGCGTGAAGCAGGAGGGCATGTAATTGGACAGGTATGAACATTTGTTTTGAGTTTTGTTATATTGCAACTATATAATAAATCTCTTGGAGCCTCTCCTGGCTAAAATTAACAACTGTGTCTCGATACATTCAACAATATTTTACATTGAAAATTAGTAAGATTCTGATACTTAACTACATCTCCATGAACTAACTTTTTATTTGCTTTTCTCGATCCCGTAAAACTTGTAACACTGAAAAATTAGAAAATGTTGACTTCCCTCTCATGGTGATGTCTAATTTATTTTCAGGAGGGTCTAATTTCATTGTTGCCACAAGTAGTTGACCTTGTTGGTGATCGAGATATTCCTGTAATTGCTGCTGGCAGTATTGTAGATGGTCGTGGCTATGTTGCTGCTTTGACTCTTGGTGCTAAAGGCATTTGCATGGGCACTAGGTTTGGACTATCTCAATTAAAATTAAGCATCACTAACAGTAATCTGGAAATTTGGCTGCATTTTTAAAACTTGTGGTGCTCATTTAAATAGCTCATGCATATGAAATAATCTCATCTTTGTTTCTATTGAATTTCCTGGTGTTTTTCCTCTTTTACATGTCTTAAAATCATTTTGAACTCTGCCTATTGATGGAAAAATAGATCGTGTTAGTACATCAAATAGCAGCATGAATCTTTCAGCTTCACTTCTCTCTTTGTTTCATAACATCCCAAATATGTGTATGATTCTGTTCCCACTTTTGGCAAGAGGAACTGAACACTTATTTCTTTTCTTTCACAAAAAAATGTGGACAAATTAACTTGTTTTATGTCTTACTAGCCAAGGCTCTAATTGTTTTCTGTGTTCTCTCAAAGGGATGCAGATATAACTAAGATCCTACTTGCCATGTCTTTAATAGACGGAAATATCATTGAAAGATGGGAAATTAATTTATGCCAGTCATGCTTAAGTCTTAGCTGATGAATGGGATGATATGTTGTTTTCTGATAGCATTACCCTGCCCTGCTGAACTTCTGAACATATAGTCGAAGCATTTATAAAGCCTCTTAAGCCTGTTTGTGCTAAAGTATGAATTTTTGCAGATTTCTTGCAACTCATGAAAGCTATGCTCACCCCACGTACAAGAGGAAACTGATCGAACATGATAAAACTGAGTACACAGATGTGTTTGGCAGAGCAAGGTGGCCTGGTGCGCCACATCGTGTCCTGCAAACACCTTTCTTCTGTGATTGGAAATCCCTTCCTGTTCACGAAAATGAAACTAATCAGCCAATCATTGGTCGATCAATAATACATGGCGTGGTGAGAACACTGGTGAAATAATTTTGCAATTAATCATTTTGATTTTCTTCTAAAACTTGGAGACATTTATCTCGAGGGTAAAATGTCACATTTAAGATATAGCTTGTTTTCATTTTTCAGCAAAGAACTCTTACTTGGCTAGTCCGCTCCAAGAGAGGGATTGCACTTTCAATTAGTAAAGACAGATCTTTGGAATGATCCTTTGCTGAATGAAATTTAAGATTTTCTTGATTTCATGATTTTTTCAATAGGAAAAAGAAATTCAACGTTTTGCTGGTACAGTGCCAAATGCAACAACAACAGGTGACATTGAAAGCATGGCGATGTATGCAGGCCAAAGTGTAGGCCTCATCAAGGAAATCCTACCTGCTGGAGAAGTGGTGAGGAGGCTAGTTGAAGGGGCTCAACTTGTGATCCAGCAAATATTGAGTGGGGAATCTGTCTAAATAAATTATGAACTGGAACTGCACATGTTTATATGAATTGGATACCTGGGTTAATAATGTTCTTACAATATTTTAAAGTATCAATAACTTGAAGAGACTATACTGTAATAAACCATATTACCATGATCTAAATGATATCTCTTTTGCTTTTTATTTGGGATGCTTCTTCTATCCCACTTATTCTGCTTCTTTTTTTTTGGATTTTGGAATAAAAATTTTCAACCATTCAAATACTAGCAATTAATGTTCCTTTGAGGTTAAATGTATTGGACCTTGTTCTAGCCAAAATCAACACTAGCTTCATACTCCCATCACCAATTTATTATTCATCAATCAAATTGGTGATACTCTGATAATTACATATATACTCCACCACCAACTGAATTTTTTCTCTGTGTTCCCCTACTGTACATTAGCACTTGTGAAACACAACAATTAAACAGTAGTTTCGCTGTTTTAGTACTAAGGGTAGTAAATTAACTGACAATTTTCCTGCAGAATTTTGAGCCCAGGTGCCTCAACTATCAACCTTTGATGAAATAAATAGCCACGGCAACAAACAAGAGAACTTGGTTCAACTTCGACAATGCTGAGTATCCAAACATAATCCCAATAAAATAGTCTGCAGCTCTTAACTTGAATATTATAAATAACTGTCTTCATGAAGATGACTTCTTTGTCGGGTTTCTTGGCGGCTATCAAGGAGGGCTGCGAGTTAGGCTTAAACTCCAAAACTTGTCGGTTTCACACTAATATTTGTTCAGCTTTAGCTGCCCCGGAAGACTTTTATGACGTTCTAATAACAATTTTTTTTATATATATAAAAGTTTATCTGACTTGAATTTGGTCATGGAAGGTGATTATCTCGATATTATCCCTACTGTCTCTTCCATGATTTAGATCAAAATCTATAAGAAAAGTTTAAAGTTCTAACGGGGGTTGAACGTCTCCAATTTCTTTGTAGGCTTGCAGTACGAGTCAATTTGGTTACTTTTTACTTTATTATTTAACCCCATCAATTGATTTTAACAAAAATTTTATTGTGTTTTGTTTCTATGGATCTTATTCTTAGCGTCAGCAATTACAGCAGTCAACTAATGACCATTGCTTCTCTCTTCAACCATCACTTATGCACAAGGGCATCTACTGATACTGTCTATTTATGCTTGGCATTTAACAGCTATATTTGTTAGGATGGTGTGTCGCAACCTTCCATTCGGGTTGCTTGCGTGTGCCAACTAAACTCACGTTGTACCAAGCCATATTATAGACATGGCGTGCCACAACAGATTATATATGCATGCGGTGTATCAGCAATTGCCTACTAGGTCTTGGTGTGTAACAACTGCTTCGCAAAATTTGAACATTGCTTCTGCTTACAATTTTAAAGAAGCAATACCTCAGTCCGTCTTCCATACTACCATTCGTTTCCTTAACTTTGTATGCAAAAGGATTTGATTGCAATAACAAACTATACTAACAAGTAGTTCAAACATCAAACCTGTCCGTTATTATATACCAAATAGGAAATATGAATGTTAGAAATTGCATTGCATATCAATCTATCCTACTTACACATTTTGACCAGTTCCACCCCTAACTGCGTTGCATGTAACATATGTACTAAACATGGCTCACATAGTTACTTAGGTCAACCGATTGTCTTCATCTACAAGATACTTTACGTTATTAGACATTATCTTTCGTATTGGACAAGTGTTGTGTGTGTGTGATCACTTTGTCAACAAATTGAACATGCTTTCTATTGACATTGTCGTGGAGATGTGAACGAACTTGGAAATGGTGCCAGATTTGTGGCTGAAAGTGTAAACAAATATGGGCAATTTTGTTTATTATGCTTGTGCCTTTTGCATTGTAAACACCTCTGTGGTCAACTACTGTCCCCAACCAATGGAATCCTTCTTTTCCTGAGTCTCCCTACTCAACCTCGCCAAGGTGGTGGCAACACAACGATTTCTTTCACATCAAGAGGGATGTCTCAGTCACTGGGATGCCCAACAGGCATAATGGACCTAGCATAACCTTTCACCAAATAGGTTGTCTTGTAGTAGTTCGTGCAAAATTCAACGACTTCACGTTTGCGGTTACTTCAAATCCAATGAACTCACGATTTTAGCATAATGTAAAAGTTAAGTTAATTATAAATTAAATACCAAATAAGGATTTTCGTACCTTACTGCCGTAATGGCATGTTTGCATGGCAGTAGATCTATCTGTAACTCACAATATGAATACATCTTCAAGGACAAGTTTACAAGTTCGTCCACCTTTCTGTCTTTAACTTCGAACTCTACCCGATAGATAAGTTTAACTATAAAATGATGTACATCATTGGACTGTTTGCTTAACTACTTGGCAGCCTAAGGGTTGAGGGGCATGCTCACCTTGAAGGCCTTTCGTACTGCTCATGGAACCAACATTGGAACAAATCTCTGATGAACTCGATCAGAACAGTGATTGGCATTTGTCTTGTATGCTTCAAACAAGAGTTAACACATTGTGCAATGTTGGATGTTATGTGTTGGTATCGTCTTATCGGTGATCGTGCACGTGCCTATCTCTTAAGGTCTATTCTTAAAAGTTTTGAATAGGCTCCCACGCGAATTTGCTTTAGTTGGTTCATATGTTTGTTAAAATCATAAACCTTGTAACAGTCTCAAGCAAGGGTGAAAATCACTGAAACGTCATCACATTTGAACTTATTGTTCAAGTTTTTCTTCAAGTGGTAATCGCAAAAACCATAGTGTCATTTTGATTGCTTTCTTAATGTCAAGATACTGGTTAGAAAAGAACATTGTGTTTTCAAGACAACCATTCGCACGACACAGGTTGGTAAAAACCACATCCACGAGTCTTCATCCTCAACATAGCCAATGCTAAATGCAACCAGATATATGCTCTTTTTTGCATCTGTGCATACAGCAACAAATAGAACACCTTGAACTTGTTTTTTAGATGTCTCACATCAATAGCAACTACAAGACACATTACCTCTATAAACCATCAAATACAAGCCTTGTATCAATAAAAACAATATTTGAATCGTTGTACCTCATCAGTAGCCACTATTGTGACTATTTTAGGATTTTCAGGTTCCAATTTATGGAAATACATCAGTAGGAGTTGAAATGACTCCTCTAGGAGATCGCAAACAAGCCTTTTAGCATACTCTTTCGCTTGCCATGCCTTACCATGCAAGCATTCCAATTCCTATTGCACCCTCATCTCACAAATTATGTCCTTGGATCTCAATGCTACTGTCACATCCCATTTCTTTGAGGAATTATGACCAACACATGGATCCATACGAGCATAACTCATTAGGCCAAAACAAGTCTCTTATCATAACATTATCAAGCATTCATCATCATATGCGGAAGCATCACATAACATCTATTAACGTATGTAATCATAATACATACATTCATAAAACTCATTATACAGTTAAGAAACTTTTCAACTTAATTATCTAAGCTCAAGCATTTGGTATACATATATATTTGAAAAAGTACCATTATCACAAAGCACATGAACATTAGCTGTCAACAACACCCTCGGGTATTCATGTAGGCTCTCGAGCCATCATTATAATCTCATACATAACATTATTAATAAAGAATACCAACATGGCGACATTAACATAAACATGTTCATAGTTTGTAAACACAAACATAAAGTAAGAGACTAACTCGTCAACGGAACGTAACCGACCTTCTAGGCATCAAGTGGATGCTAAACATCTACCAAAGAATGACTAGACACTAGTATCCACGACACTGGTTGTTATTAGATGTTGTCATTGATTTGCAACAAAATAAATAAGAACAATAACGTGTGAGTAACAAAGACTTTGTGAGTGGATACGAAAAGGGGACAAGTTAGGGGATAAGAGTAGTTCATATATTTGCATTTGTAATCTCATGTCTTTCATAAACAATTTAATCCTAGAATTCATAAAACATGTTATTTGAACACATTTCAATAGTATTTGTATGTAAACATGTCAATACAGACCTTCGAAAATCTTTTACCTTTGAAATTCTCATCAAATTCAATCAAACAATCTACTATGCACCAAAACTATCGATACATTCTCCAATGTATTGATAGTTTATACATCTATCGATACATTAGTAAAATGTATCGATACATTTAACACAGAAAGCCTCCTAAAGCATTCTATTTAGAATGTATTAATACTTAACCCACATCTATCGATACTTTCAGCCCAAAACCTAAATTTCTTAGCAAAATCTTCCATTTTTATCATTCTTTAAGTTCCCTTACCTCTTAGGACTTTCTCTAAGGCTTAGTCTTCTTCACTAAGCAGATTTTCATGTCATCATAGAGTACAAATGATGAACAATGCTCAAACAACATTAGTGTGCAACATGCCATAAACATAATGCTTATGATCATTCCATTAACATTAAACTCATACTTTGTGATGGTATGTCGCCCATCAGCCTTGGGCAGACAATGTACAGTCCCATTGCACATTAGACGTTTATGATGCTTTTTCAATATCTTATGTAGTATATAAAATATACATAATCTCCTGCATTTATCATGCTTTTTCAATCATCTCATGTAGTATATAGAATTTACATCATATACATAACCTCATGGCATTCATCATGCTTTCTCAATCATCTTATGTAGTATATAAAATATACATCATATATATAATCTCATGGCATTTATCATGCATACTTAATCACCTCATATTATATATGGAATGTACATCATATACATAATCTTATAATATACATCATGCATACTTAATCATCTCATATGGTATATGGAAGTTACATCATATACATAATCTTATGGCATTTATCATACCGAATATACACATTATAGCATTTATAAATAAACATACAATATCTTGTACCTACACTAGTCCTAAGATCGAAGTAATCGGTGAACTTTAAACATAAAGTGCTTGTCTCCTCTTATTGAAAACTAATATATAGTAGAATATTTACATACCTAGTAGTTTTGCAAACAATTTGAAAACCATTGTATCAATTATATCATAGTCACTAAGAATTTATTTTTCTTAGAAAATCATTTTCATTCTTGAAAATCAAATCCTTTGATAAACCATTTTAGAGAGATTATTTCAGCAT